TCCCGCCATTCTCCTGCCTCAGCCTCCCGAGTAGCCAGGACTACAGCGCCCGCCACCTCGCCCGGCTAGTTTTTTGTATTTTTTAGTAGAGACGGAGTTTCACCGTGTTAGCCAGGATGGTCTCGATCTCCTGACCTCGTGATCCACCCGTCTCGGCCTCCCAAAGTGTAATTTTGTATTTTTAGTAAGAGACAGGGTTTCTTCATGTTGGTCAGGCTGGTCTTGAACTCCTGACCTCAGGTGATCTGCCCGCCTCAGCCTCCCAAAGTGCTGGGATTACAGGCGTGAGCCACGGCACCCAGCCTCATGTCAGTTTTATTCTCTGTCTGTCACAAAGTAACCTTTAAAGGGTGGTTTGGGAAATTTTATTTTACTTAAAGTTCTGGGTCGTTGTGATGACTTAGGTGCGGTACTACTTTATTCTAAGATCATGCAAGAGTGATGACAAACATGGAAAAGAAGATCATTGCAAGTATTAATGCTATTTGCTGGGTTGGAAACTCTTCAGGTAGAGATGTGACTGAGGCTGGACTCAGTTTCTTTTGTTTTTAATTATTGATTACCTTCTATGAGCCAGGGACTGTTCTAGACACTAGATACAACAGTGAACAAAACACAAATCCTTATGCTCCTGGTTTTCCATTGCTGCCCCCAGCATACGCAGGTAGGATGGGTTTACATGTTAAAATCAGTCATTTTGGTCTGGTCCTTTTCATTCTTTCCTTTTTTTTTTTTTTTTTGGTCCGTTACCCAGGCTGGAGTGCAGAGGCTGATTTTCATAGCTCACAGAAACCTCAAACTCCTGGGCTCAAGCAGTCCTGAGCTCAAGCCGACTCAGCCTCCCACGTAGCTGAGACCATTGGTGTGCGCCACCATATCTGGCTAATTTTGTAGAGACAGGGTCTCACTTTGTTGCCCAGGCTGGTTGGTTGGGTCTTCTGTCACAAGGACATGAGTTTTGTGTGAATGTCTTTTCCTTCTTTTTTGTTCAGGGAGAGAAGAAAGGACATGTGCCCATTTTCTTGTCACAAAGTAGCCTTTAAATGGCCTCCCTTCTAATAGCCCACTCGCTGGTGGATGAATCATGCCCTAGGATTAACATTTTGGCCAATGGTTTTGGCGTAGAGTATTCTTTTGGATTTGGCCGTGTCTTATTTTCAACGCAGAGTCATCACTATAGATACCAGAAGATTAGAGAATAAAATTAATTCATACCTTTTTTGGCTATTGGTTGTTAGATGCCAATAAATATTTCAGCGAAGGTTCGGACCCCAGAAAAAAATATCAAGACAGGATACAACAAATGTGTCTTTGCTCATGTATCTAGCAGGAGAAAAAGTTACTTTTAAAAAAATTTAATGCGGCTGGGTGCGGTGGCTCATGCCTGTAATTCCAGCACTCCTGGGTGTCCAAGGTGGGTGGATCACCTGAGGTCAGGAGTTTGAGACCAGCCTGGCCAACATGGAGAAACCCCATCTCTACTAAAAATACAAAAAGCTTAGCTGGGCGTGGTGGCGCATGCCTGTAATCCCACCTACTTTCAAGAGGCTGAGGCAGGAGAATCGCTTGAACCCGGAAGGTGGAGGTTGCAGTGAGCCGAGGTTGCACCATTGCACTCCAGCCTGGGCAACAAGAGTGAAACTCTGTCTCAAAAAAAAAAAAAAAAAATTAATGCATTTTAATACCTTTGGTCTATGTAGATTCTTTTTTTATATTGTTTATAGTAATGTAGTATGACTTTGTACCTGTTCTCAAGGACTAAGTTATTAAAGTTTATAATAAACCTTTAAAATTTATATTTCTGGTATATGATAATGTTAATTGGAGAAAAAAAAAAAAAAAAAAAAAAAAAACACGTACCAGCGGTAATATCTTGGTGTGGTGGGATTACTGGGTAACTTTTATTTTATTTTTTGTATCTTTTCCTAGTCCCCGCAAACTGACAGTAATGACCACATTACCTATATTATCAGAAGAAACAATAATTTATTTAAAATCTTTATTCTGTATGGCATGGGCATCAGATGGTATTAAATAAACTTTCTTAGATTTTACTATAAAGTGTAATTTCTTAATATTCACAGAATAGATACAATGTATAATTGAAGGAGCACTGGACCAGGAGTCAGAAGACCTGTATGTGGGTTTCCATTTTGCCAATTATTCGCTGTGTGACCTTAGGCAAATCCTTTTCTTTGGGACCAGTGTCTTCCCTTATGAAATAAGCAAGTTGCCAGGTGTCGTGGTGCACACCTGTAATCCCACCTACTCAGGAGGCTGAAGCAAGAGGGTCACCTGAGCCCGGGAGCTGGAGGCTGTAGCGAGTTATGATTGTGCCTTTGAATAGTCACTGCACTCCATCCTGGGCAACCTAGGGAGACTCCGTCTCAAAAAGCCTAAAACAACAAGAAATAAGTGAGTTGTGCTCTGGATTTCATGAGGAACATCCTGGCTCTAAAATTAATAGTTATTTTCTTAGAGTATATGTTACCCTTAAATTGACCTGATGGTCAAGAATGTTGGCACAAAATGATCCACTCACCTGAGAAAAGTCCGTATGTTTGAGCTGAAAAAGTAGTTTTATTCTACCTTCAACATCTTTTATTTGACAACTTATATTAGTTAAATTGACTTTGAAATATATAGTACTTAGGTTGTCAATCTAAAGTAAAAATTTGAGTATTTAGGCTTTCAAATCTGAGATAGCTTGCCACATTGAGCTAATACATGAGATTTGTATTCCTGGGAAGCTACTAAATATATCTGTGCCAAGTTACAGCATTACCAACCATCAGGACTTCCTCGCTCTTCTTTACTGTGTGTGGTTTAATTCTGTGCATGATGTCTCTCTGTTGATATTAATTTAGGTCTCTCGGCTGCTGGGGGCATTCCACAACCCAAAACAGGTGACCAGAGGTTTTACTGGTGGTGTGAGTATAATTATGTCTTTTATTTTTTCCTTTTAGAAGTTTCTCAAGAAAGATGCTCTAATATATTTATTACATAGCATTTTATCTCCATTCATTTAAAATTAGGGAAAATTGGCCGTATTTATAATGTATGTTGAAATTATTGACTGACATGCACAAATCTATTAGGTTACTTGCACATTTGAAAGAATTGTCTGACAGCTGGCTATGTAAGTTTGTCACATTAATATCTTGAAGGAGCCTTATTAAAAATAGATAGAAAGTACCCTTGAGCCTGTTATTTTATTTCACAATCTTGTTTCGGTGAGACAGCTTTTTTCAAAACTTGTACAAGTTGAGAGAAAATTGTTGAGAAGCTTCAAAACCTGCTTTGCGTTGTTATTTTATGAGCTTCCCTAAACCCAGTAGATGGAATGCCAATTAGGAATGCCTCGAACATCTATCAGCCCTATAGGCTTGTACTTTCCTTATATAGGCTTTGTAGACTATCGCAGTAGTAGATCATCTGTTGTTCATTAAATCTGCTGCTTTTAGAATTCCCAGCATCAGAGTTCTGTGCTTTAAAAGCTGATACCACATTTTTGGAACATTCTAAGACTGTGGGTCAGTGACTTCCTATTTGTTTTTATTCCCACCCCCGCCTTTTACGGAATCTGATTTGGATTTCATAATTCCTATACTCCCATATAACATCTATGCCATGTAAGATTTATAAGACCATAGTACTTTTTTTCCTCCATTTACTTTCTGTATTGTGGAAGAAAAGTAGATTTTCTGTTGACTTGATGACATTTATTATTACATGTTGGGAGAACAGGAAGAAGCAGCCAAAGCGTTCTTTTGGCTCTGCTTATGCCGAGAATGCAGGATAGGGCTTGCACTTCAAGCTGGAGGATAGCCATGCTGGCATTTCAAACGCATTCTGAAAGCGAATAAGATGATTATTGCTGTCTGCTATTATTTAATTTTCAGGCGATTTATTTGAAAAAAAAATTTGCTTGATGGAGGAGATTATTTTTGAAGAAATAAGAGAATATATTTATTTTTTTAAAGATTTCTTCAACCTGAGAAAACTGGTATGAGCCTTAGCCCTGGCTAAGACTGAGGTGGGAGAATGAGGTGGGAGACTTGCTTAAGGCCAGGAGTTCGAGGCTGCAGTGAGCTGTGGTGACACCTGTGAGTAGCCACTGCGCTCTTGCCTGGCAACGTAGTGAGTCCTCATCTCTAAAAAATAAAAACTGAAAATTAGAAAGATGAAAAAAATAAAAATGTCTCTTCAGTTGTACAGAAAAAAATCAGAAATAATTAGTCCACCAATCTGGGCAGACAATCATTGGAAGCAAAGGACCAAGGAAACTTGAATTAGTGATTTTTTTTAAATGCAGTTCAAGCAACTAGAATTGAAAAAAAGCCAAGCCCCTAGGTGGGGTGAAGTCCCAAGATAATAAAATATATGGTTCCCAAATGGAAAAAGAGGTGCTGATCTTCTCCCTTATGTATTTTTATTTCTGCGTTTGAAATGCTGGCTTCGTTTTGCCTGAAGCCTTAGAGTAAATCATTGCTGTTACATTATAAAAACAATAATTGTCATTCTAAGTGTGACTCAGGCTTTGCAGGTATGATGACGGATACTATTCTTTTTAGTTGCAGATCAACTTTGCCAAGCTTATGTAGATTACTCTTAGATTTAAGCAGACAGTTTTATAGAGGAACTAAGAAAAAATTGGAAGCTCTCTTGATAAAAAGTCTGATTTTCCCTGAGTACCAAAACAGACCTCAGTAATATTTTAGAAATGTGTCTGAAAGTGTTTTGCAAGACTGAAGAAGAAGTTGCATGAGAAGCTTTCCCGGATCACAATGAAAAGGAAAGGAAAACACTTGCCTTCATGAGAAACCCTCTAAATTTTAGTGAGAGAACATGGTTAATTTTTTGTTGTTGTTGTCTTTGGTTTTAAAGGTTTGAATTAATTGGTCTCTTTGCAGCTTGTCTGCAAGAAATAGCAATTAGGAAATCTACTTGATAGTTTAATTTATTTTTGTTTAAGTAAAGAGTATCATTTGGGTTCTTTTTAAAACCTCTGAACTCAGGTAAGAGCAGGATTGCAGAGTCTCTGTCTGTTGATTCCTGCCTCCCCTTTGATGACCCTGGGGGAGGTATATCTGTTTTCTTAACAACATTTGAATCTCTCTGAGACATCTCATAAAGTGGATTTCTCTGTCAAAATATTCTTTTTTAAGCCTTCAAAAATAAAAATTCTTACTGTCTTCTTTGATGATTTCTTATGTTCAGGTTCAGACAGTAACTTTAATTCCAGGAGATGGTATTGGCCCAGAAATTTCAGCTGCAGTTATGAAGATTTTTGATGCTGCCAAAGTAAGTGGGCTTAAAAAATACATTTAATGATGATTCACTGAAAAGTTTTCTTAGCCAGTTGGATTCTGTGAACTTTTAGGATGCATTGTACACATTTCTATGAAATTTAGTAAGGTCTGTTGTTCATCTCCATAGATTGTCACTTTAACAGTGTGTATCTCAGTGTTTGCTACTGCCATTATTTCTTTCCTTCCTTCCTTCCTTCCTTCTTTCCTTCCTTCCTTCCTTCCTTCCTTCCTTCCTTCCTTCCTTCCTTCCTTCCTTTTTTTCTTCCTTCCTTTCTCTCTTTCTCTTTCTTTCCTTCCTTCCTTCCTTCCTTCTTTCCTTCCTTCCTTCCTTCCTTCCTTCCTTCCTTCCTTCCTTCCTTTCTTCTCTTTCTTCTCTTTCTCTCTTTCTTTCTTTCGATGAGGTCTCACTCTATTCCCCAGGCTGGTCTTGAACTCTAGGGCTCAAGCGATCCTCCCACCTTCACCTCCCAAAGTGCTTGGATTATAGGCATGAGCCACCGCACCTGGCTGGCTGCTCCTATTGTTGATAGTTTAAACTCCTGCATTGGCATCAGTTATATGTAATCAAAGTAGTACTGTAGTATTTGTGGATCTTTAAGTCCTGCTTGGGTTTGAGATCTTTTAAGCCCTGCCAAATCACCCACCTTTTTGCAAAAAAAAAAAAAAAAAAAAAAAGACTAGAATTGATGTTTCAAAAATCTATATAGGCGCTTTTGAAATAATCTCTTTAAAATAAAGTTTTTGATGTGTTATCAAGAATGGAGTGTTATTACTTCTAACAGCTGAGCCTTTGATACAGGTAGATAATTTTGAAATTCTGTAAGTGGGTTCAGCTGTAAGCTGCTTGTGACCAGCACTGTATCTGTCTCTGAACTTCTGTCCTAGGACATGCTCAGTGTGCTGGCTGTTAAATGTGTGTGTACACACATGAAGGATGTAGGTAGAGAGAAAGGGATGTTTGTTTATACCTTCAACTGGTACATTCATAGGTTATGCAATACATATATATATATGGGATCTGATTTGGATTTCATAATTCCTATATTCCTATATATATATTCTTATACTTCATATATATATTTCTATACTTCATATATATATATATATATATTTTTAAATATAATATTGTTTTTTAAAAACGGCTTTATCAAGATATAATTCATCCTTTTATTTAATTTTTATTTTTCATTTGTTTTGAGACATTGTTTCACTCTTAATGCACAGGCTGGGGTGCAATGGCGTGATCTTGGCTCACTGCAACCTCTGTCTCCCAGGTTCAAGCTATTCTCCTGCCTCAGCCTCCCGAGTAGCTGGGATTACAGGTGCCCGCGACCACACCCAGCTAATTTTTGTATTTTTAGTAGAGACGGGGTTTCACCATGTTGGCCAGGCTGGGCTAGAACTCCTGACCTCAGGTGATCCACCCACCTCAGCTTCCCAAAGTACAGGGATTACAGGCATTGAGCCACCACGCCGGGCCTAATTCATCCTTATAAAGTGCACCTTTCAATCCAGTGGTTTTTAGTACATTCACAGAGTCATGCAGCCATCACCACAATCTAATTTTGGACCATTTTCCTCACCCAAAAAGAAACCCCATACCCTATGCAGTCGCTCCCCATTTCGTCTCTCTCCCTCCCTACCTCCTCCCCCTTTTTCCTCCCCAGCCCTAGGCAGCCAACCACTCATCTACTTTCTATATCTATAGGTTTGCCTATTTGGGACATTTCATATAAATAGAATCTTACATGGTCTTTTATGATTGGCTTCTTTCACTTAGCATGATGTTTTTAAGTTTCATCCATGTATCAGTACTATAAAATGTTTCTGTGAACCATATTCCTCTGTTCTTTATGATACTCTAATTATAGCCACTCTTAAGAGCCCTTGTGGAAAACAAATAAGTGGGCAGGTGGTGGCTGGGAGTGATGACTGGGCACAGGTAATGTGGAGAATTCCTCTGGGCCTGCTAGAGAATGACATCTCTTCTTGCATGCCAGGAACTTTCTGGACTTTTACTGTTTTTAGCAGTCGCATCCAAAGTTGAAAAAGGGCTGAGCATGGTAGCTCACATCTGTAATCCCAGCACTTTGGGAGGCTGAGGTGGGCAGATCACCTGAGGTCAGTAGTTCGAGACCAGCCTGGCAAGACCCCGTCTCTACAAAAAAAAATACAAAAAATATTAGCTGGGTGTGGTGACGTGCGCCTGTAATCCCAGCTACTTGGGAGGCTGAGGCAAGAGAATCGCTTGAACCTGGGAGGCGGAGGTTACAGTGAGCCAAGATCGTGCCACTGCACTCTAGCCTGGTCAACAGAGCGGGACTCTGTCTCAAAAACAAAGTTGAAAGTTGAATAAGTTTGTTCATCATTGCAGTATGAATGTCAGTTTCCTTTAAGTCTCTCCAGCTCACTGTGCTCTGTAATGTGGCATCTAGGCACCTATTCAGTGGGAGGAGCGGAACGTCACTGCCATTCAAGGACCCGGAGGAAAGTGGATGATCCCTTCAGAGGCTAAAGAGTCCATGGATAAGAACAAGATGGGCTTGAAAGGTAGCACTGAAGTAGAGACCGGGGTTTTTACAGATTTCTGCTACAGGGGTTACAAAGTTTTGAAAATTTATGCATTTAAACTGAATAAGGCCTGGCCTTCTGTGAAAGTAAAGCCATTCTTTTATGAAGAAACTACTCACAGTAAGATGCTTTATTCATTTGGGATATTTTTTTCCCCCAGTAAAAGCATTAAAGTATTACTGGATGATGCCAAATAACAGTATCTCTATTTAATCTTGAACTATATGTATCTTTTGCTTAATTTTTACATTTGTATATTTATTTATTTATTTTAATTATTTTTTGCGACAGAGTCTCGCTCTGTCGCCCAGGCTGGAGTGCAGTGGTGTGATCACAGCTCACTGCAGCCTTGACCTCCTGAGCTCAAGCGATCCTCTCACCTCAGCCTCCTGAGTAGATGGGACTACAGGTGTGCCACCATGCCCAGCTAATTTTTAAAAAAGTTTTTTGTAGAGATTCGGTCTCACTATGTTTCCCAGGCTGATCTGGAATACCTAAGCTCAGGCAATCCTTCTGCCTCTGCCTCCCAAAGTGCTGGGTTTACAGGCCTGACTGAGCCACTGTGCCTGGCCTACATTTTTATCATTATTTTAATTAATACATGTTTAAGGCCATGATTCAAAAATACTAGCATGGGGTAGATTTAAATTCAGCATAGGCTTTATTTTTATATTTTTTGAGAGTCTTGCTCTGTCACCCAGGCTGGAGTGCAGTGGCATGATCTCGGCTCACTATAACCTCCACCTCCCAGGTTCAAGCTATTCTCCTGCCTCAGCCTCCAAGTAGCTGGGACTACAGGCATGCACAACAATGCACAGCTAATTTTTGTATTTTTAGTAGAGACAGGGTTTCCCCATGTTGGCCAGGCTGGTCTTGGACTCCTGACCTCAAGTGATCCGCCTGCCTTGGCTTCCCAAAGTGCTAGGATTACAGGCCTGAGCCACCATGCCCGGCAAGCATAGGCTTTAAAACCACAGACAGAACCAACACTGAATCTCATCTCTGCTACTTACTGGCTAGAAGGCTTGGGCAAATTTTTTATTCTTAGTTTCTTTTTTCTTTTTTCTTCATTTTCAAATGACAGTAACAGAGTTGCTGTTGTACAGGTTGATGGTAAAGATTAGATCATGTCAAGCACGTGATTACAATGCTTGATCCTCAGGAAGTTCTTAAGATAAGAAATGCAGTTCATGTTTCAGAAAGCTCCCATGAGGAAGTTTTCCTCCTTCATTTGAGTCTCAGGTAGAGAGTGAATTAGAGGCAGAACACATTTCACAAGGTAGCCTAGGTGGGTTAGTAGGTCACACCTGAGACCAGAATGCCTTCTAGTGTCATCTGAGTTTTCTTCTGTATAACAGGCCCTTTGAAGACCCCAATAGCAGCTGGTCACCCATCTATGAATTTACTGCTGCGCAAAACATTTGACCTTTACGCAAATGTTCGACCATGTGTCTCTATCGAAGGCTATAAAACCCCTTACACTGATGTAAATATTGTGACCATTCGAGAGAACACAGAAGGAGAATACAGCGGAATTGAGCATGTGGTATGTTCACTCCAGATTCCTTTTTATTCCTGCTTGGACTGCTTTCTGTGCATCTGGGACCCCAGAGACAGAACTGCTTTATCTCTGTGAGGAATTGTGGGTGTTTGTCTTGGTACCGGGTGTCTGGCTGACAGTACTCAAACAGATGTAAGGCATGGTGGTTCAGGTCACAAGCTTGGGAATATGCCCTCTAAATTTTGAATCCCTCACTTCACAGGGATGCTCTTCCGCAGGTGACTGTCCCTGCATCTCAGCTTTCTTCATCTGTGCAGTGGGGCTCATAATACCTCTTATGGCTGGAGTTAATATGAACCCCATTGACATAGCAGTGTGTGTGATTAGTCATGCTAGCTGGCACTGTGCAGGCCTGCCACAAATGTTACTGTCTACTCCCCACCCTCTGTCTCCCACGGCGTTGCTGTCACACGCTTTCCAGCGAGGCAGGACTTCCTCTCTTGCAGATCGTTGATGGAGTTGTGCAGAGTATCAAGCTCATCACCGAGGGGGCGAGCAAGCGCATTGCTGAGTTTGCCTTTGAGTATGCCCGGAATAACCACCGGAGCAACGTCACGGCGGTGCACAAAGCCAACATCATGTGAGCTCCTTGCGGGGACCGGCACCCCATCTTGCTTTGTTGTGGGAGAGCAGTGACAGGGCCTCCCTTTCTCCTCTTCAGCTTGCTCCTTGATTTCTAATATCTTTGAAAAAGAACCTTGTAACAATCCAAAGATCCGGCATCTCTCTTCTGTCAGAGTCTCCCCTTTTTTTTTTTTTTGAGACGGAGTCTCTTTGTGTTGCCCAGGCTGGAGTGCAGTGGCGCCATCTTGGCTCACTACAACCTCCGCCTCCCAGGTTCCAGCAATTCTCCTGCCTCAGCTCCCTGAGTAGCTGGGACTACAGGCCCATGCCACCATGCCTGGCTAATTTTTGTATTTTCAGTAGAGACGGGGTTTCACCATGTTGGCCAGGCTAGTCTCAAACTCCTGACCTTAGTTGATCCACTTGCCTTGGGCTTCCAAAGTGCTAGGATTACAGGCATGAGCCACTGTGCCCGGCCTGGAGTCTCCTGTTTACTGTGCCTCACTGGGCGAATGACAGGAGCAAATGAGGAGGGGATAGCGATTCAGGTCCTGGAAGCTCAAGGAGGGACTGAGGGTTATCAGGAAAGGAAGCTGGAGCCTCTGGGTCCCCAGATGCTGTGGCCATCAGCAGAGACCACATAGCATACGTTTTAGAAGTGGAATAGTGGGAGGCTTAAAGTAGTGCTAACAATACCTGATGTGTTACTTTGGCCATTTAAATTCTCATTCAGAGGCTGTTAAAGTCCTCTGAATATGTTAACAGTTTTCCTAACCTAAGAGAAGCATTGAACGTGCAAAACAGTAAAACTATTTAAATTATTATGTTAACCTTTGAAAGCAGTTTTAATCATATTAGTGGATATTTCTTCATTCTTGTTAGACAACACTATAAAAATATAGTCTTCTCTATTATCATCAAACTATTTTATATTTTTACCCTTTTATACTTTCAGAAGGATCCTAAGACATTTTCAGCTTATATTTTATTAACTACCTAAGAAATAATTTTATTGTAATTGAGATCAGGTAGCTTGGCTTCTGGAACTTAAATTTCTTGAACTTACTTTACTTCTTTGATTTGATTCTTTTCTTTCTGTAAGACTTTTTTTTCAGCAGTTTTTATTTGATTAAATACAGGCGGATGTCAGATGGGCTTTTTCTACAAAAATGCAGGGAAGTTGCAGAAAACTGTAAAGATATTAAATTTAATGAGATGTACCTTGATACAGTATGTTTGAATGTAAGTATATATTCACACTTACCTGCTACTTTTTGTGGTGAATAGCGTGTGTGTTGTGGGGATGCAGATTTTGATTACTAAATGCACAAATGTATTCCTTGTAGATGGTACAAGATCCTTCCCAATTTGATGTTCTTGTTATGCCAAATTTGTATGGAGACATCCTTAGGTGAGTCTGGCTGCAACCTTTTTATTTTAGCCTATAATTTACTTATAAACATCCTAACATAATTATGGCTTAACATTTTCAATTGAGTATTATAAAATAAAGTGTTACAACGTATGAATTGAATTCTAACAATTCAGGTTGTGATATGAATTATTACATGTTGGGTGGCTTGTTCCTTCATTTATTTGCCAAATCATCACTGGGCTCTTTCTCCCTAATCATTAGCTCACTCTTCCCAGTTTTTAAATGTTTCATTGATTGACTGATTTCAAGGTTTTGTTATGTATAGCTAGGTAGGTGGGTGGTCGTTGTTACTATTTTTTGGTAACTTTTGACATCATTTCAGACTTACAGAAAAGTTGTAAGAATGGCACAAAGAATTCCCTTGTACTCAACACCCAGATTCCACATTCCCCAGATGTCAGCATTTTATCACATTTACTTTATTACTCCTTCCCATTTTCCCTCCCTTCCTCCTTCCTCCCTTCCTCTTCCTCCTCTCCTCCTTTGTCTGTGCCTCTCTCTCTCTCTCTCTCTCTGTCTCTCTTTTACACACACACATACACACACTGTGAGAGAGAGAGATAAGATGTTGGCCAAATGGTGATTTTCTAGGGCTATTTTTTCTATATTTATGAGTTGGCACACAACTGTAAGAATGTTTTTCCTTCTTGTTTATCTGTCAATATGGACATGGTTTTGTTTTTCTTTCTTTTTTTTTTATGATAGAGTCTTGCTCTGTCTCTCAGGCTGGAGTACAGTGGCACGATCTTGGCTCACTGCAACCTCCACCTCCCAGGTTCGAGTGTTTCTCCTGCCTCAGCCCCCTGAGTAGTTGGTATTATTACAGGTGCACACCACCACACCTGGCTAATTTTTGTATTTTTAGTAGAGACGGGGTTTCGCGATGTTGGCCAGGCTGGTCTCAAACTCCTGACCTCAAGTGATCTGCCCACCTTGGCCTCCCAAAGTGCTGGGATTACAGGTGTGAGCCACTGAGCCTGGCTGTGGACATGGTTTTCTGTTTTATTCAGTGATATATCCATCATCATAATCAGGAATATTGATGCCTAGGTTGTCCTAACTTGGCTGGTGGGGATCCCTTCACCATGTCTCCTGTGTCCTTTTGACACGGCCCTTTGTTCTTTGAACCTTGCCTTGCTTTCTGACATAGTAAGCTGCTTGAGCTCATCTGTATTTTCCTAACCTTAGCCCTGGAATCAGCCATTTATCCAAGGAACGCTAGTTCCTTTTAGTGGAGAATGATAATTAAAAACTAAAATCTGGGTGCTAGGTGAGATGTTTTATTTTTCAAAACATTCTTTGAAATGCTTTTCTTCCCCTAGTGACCTGTGTGCAGGATTGATCGGAGGTCTTGGTGTGACACCAAGTGGCAACATTGGAGCCAATGGGGTTGCAATTTTTGAGTCGGTAAGGACCCTGACACCTGAAACAGAATTCAGGTCAGAACAGCATGTGAACTCAGGAGGAGTTATCTGTATAAGTACGCTTTAATTCATTTTTCAAATTGTCAAAACAAAATGATGCCTTTTTTTTTTTTCCTGAGATGGAGTCTTGCTCCATCACCCAGGCTGGAGTGCAGTGGTGCGATCTTGGCTCGCTACAACCTCTGCCTCCCAGGTTCAAGTGATTCTCCTGCCTCAGCCTCTCAAGTAGCTGGGATTACAGGTGTGTGCCACCACACCTGGCTAATTTTTATATTTTTAGTAGAGATGGGGTTTCACCATGTTGGCCAGGCTGTTCTTGAACTCCTGATCTCAGATGATCCATCCGCCTTGGCCTCCCAAAGTGCTGGGATTACAGGTGTGAGCCATTGCACCCAGCCTGTGTTTGTTATATGTACATATATATATGTTTGGTTTATCTCTTCATTTCCCTCCAGATATTTGTTATGTATCCTTCCTTCCTTAAAATATTTTACCAAAAATTGACTGAAAAAGATTGTTGGTCTATATTTTTATACTTAAAAAAAATTAGTTTAGCTCTTTATTTCTCCAAGTCTTTATTTATTTATTTATTTTTGAGTTGGGGCCTTGTTCTGTCACCCAGGCTGGAGTACACTGGTATGATCATAGCTCACTGCAGGCTTGAACTGCTAGGCTTAAGCAATCCTCCTGCCTCAGCCTCCCAAGTAGCTGGCACTGTAGTCACACACCACCACACCTGGCTAATTTCTAATTTTTTTGTAGAAATGGGGTCTCACTATGTTTCCCAGGCTGGTCTTGAACTCCTGACCTCAAGTGATCCTCCTGGCCAATCAAAGTGTTGCGATTACAGGTGTGAGCTATCATGCCCAACCCAGACTTTATTTCTTCTGTCCGTATCAGATGAATTGCACACAGTAGCTTTCAGTGCATATTTTCTATTGCTGAGGAAAGATGATTAAGACTCCAGCTTCCCCAGAAGAGGACTGTTAGTTCTTGTCTCTCCCCTGATGATGCTACTTTTCCCAATGTGTAGGTTCATGGGACAGCTCCAGACATTGCAGGCAAGGACATGGCGAATCCCACAGCCCTGCTGCTCAGTGCCGTGATGATGTTGCGCCACATGGGACTTTTTGACCATGCTGCAAGAATTGAGGCTGCATGTTTTGCTACAATTAAGGATGGAAAGGTAACAGGAATCTTGATTTACTTGTGCTAGGTAAAATGCATTGCTTCCATGTGTTTTATCTGAGTAAAAGGGACAGTGACAGATAATAGTTCTCACACGGACCCAAGCATTTGATGTTGAACAAGGATTCTTAATGTGAGTCCCAGATTGAATGGGGTATGTGTGCATATGTGTGCATTTTCTGAGGTGAGGATCTAGATATTTCATCCAAAAAAAGTTAAGAAGCACTGACATCAAGACATCAGTGTACAGTGGAAAGGTCAGTGGTTTGGGAGCCAGCATCAGGTACATGCCCAATTATCCTATTATTAGCTGTGTGACCTTGGCAAGGTGCATTGATTTTTTTTTTTTTCTTTTTTTTTTTGAGACAGAGTCTTGCTCTGTCTCCCAGGTTGGGGTGCGGTGTCACAATCTTGGCTCACTGCAACCTCCACCTCCCTGGTTCAAGTGATTCTCCTGCCTCAGCCTCCCTAGTAGCTGGGATGATAAGCGTGTACCACCACGCTCAACTAATTTTTGTACTTTTAGTAGAGATGGGATTTCACCATGCTGGCCAGGCTGGTTTCGAACTCCTGACCTCAAGTGATCCTCCCGCCCAGCCTCCCAAAGTGCTGGGATTACAGGCCTGAGCCACTGCACCCAGCCAGGTTCATTGATTTTTATAGACAACTTTTTCCTCTTCATAACAAACGTCTATTGAGTGTACCTTATAAGGTATGAAGAATAACATGATGAATAGGGTAACATGCTGAGCCTCAAGGAGCTGGGAATCTAGTGGCAGATACAGATGCAGATGTGCCTCTAATACAATAGTCTTATATGTCACACTATGTGCATCTATAATACAAAAGCAATCCAGAAGTTTTATAAAAGTAATAACTAATATTAATTGAATACTTACACAACTTTCAAGTTCTTTATATATCTCAGCAAAGTTTTTCTATAACTCTTTGAAATAGATGCTATAATTCCATTTTATAGATGAGGAAACTGAGGTACAGAGAGATTAAATAATTTGTCCAAGGTTTTACAGCTCCTAAATGACCAAGTTGGTATTAACACCCAGTCTGGGTCTTACCCAACAAGCTTCTCTGCCTCCGTAAGCAACTGTGGCCCGTGGAAGAAGTGTGGTGGGTTATTTCCGAAGTGAGAGGAGATAATGCACTTGAAGACTCATCCCTAATTTGAGGTCCTTTTTAACAAAAATTGTGAAAAATATGCATAACATAAAATTTACCATTTTAGCCATATTTAGGTATACAGTTCAATAATGTTAAGTACATTCACATTGTAATGTAACCATCGCTGTCAGTCATCTCCAGATCAGTTTCATTTTCTCAAACTGAGACTCTGCACCCATTAAACAGTAACTTTCCCTTCCCCCTCTCATCCTCTGGCACCCGCCGTTCTGCTTCCTGTCTCTATGAATTTGACTACTCTAGGTACCTCATGTAAGTGGAATCATACAGCATTTGTCCTTTAAGTCTGACTTATTTCACTTAGCATAGTATCTTCAAAGTTGGTCCCTTCTTTTAAAAAGAATTCTGTAATTTGAAATTATATCGTGATAGTCACATTGGAGGTCATATGATTTTCTTATTCTTTAAAGTTATATTTGGGAAGTTATAATCTACAGCCCAGTAGGGAGGTGCCTGAATTACACAGTGAGCCCTTTTATTGTGTAGGATGGAAAGATAAAGAGAATTAAATATATTGGGGTCTGTATGCAGGAAAGAAAGGATAAGCTGGTAGAACAGATCGGTTGTATGGGAGGCTTTCTTTCCTAAAGAGGGAGGTTTAAGAGTTAATGATTTAGGCAGCTGTGGTGGTGCATGCCTGTAGTTGCAGCTATAGGCTGAGGCAGGAGGATCACCTTAGCCTCTGAGTTCAAGACCAGACTGGGCCACATAATGAGACCCCATCTCTTTTTTTAAAAAGAAGAGTTAGTGATTTAAATATTTCCTTCGTATTTGTTTCCCAGCCTCCAAAAATAGATCAGATACAAAAATTAGTTGGGTATGGTGGCATGCACTTGTAATCCCAGCTATTCGGGAGGTTGAGGCAGGAGAATCGCTTGAACCCAGGAGGCAGAGGTTGTGGTGAGCTGGGATCGTGCCACTGCACTCCAGCCTGGGCAACAGAGTGAGACTCCATCTCAAAAAATAATAATAAAAACAAAAATAGATCAAAATATGTCTCAGGTCTATTCCTGAGACATATTTCCCAAGGATTTTTATGAAACTTCTTGTTTAGATTTGCTCTTATTTAAATATCCATGACCAACTAATCTGTATTAGGGTCCATTGTGTGAACAAAGGGAAAATTTTGGTAAAGCTCCTTGCATCGAGAGCGCCTTATTCTTTGCGGAGTGTGTTGTATACACTATGAGATTGGATCCCGATCCTCCTGGGCTGGGTAGATAGTGGTGGAGTGGTTCCTCACTTGGAAATGAGGAACTAAATGAAAGAGCAGCCAAGTAACTTGCCCAGGTGGCATCTCACTGAGGGCTTTAAAATCTTCTTGGTTTAGTTTAGTTTGTGGATACATCTTTTATTTTTGCTTTTTCCTTTTCTCAGAGCTTGACAAAAGATTTGGGAGGCAATGCAAAATGCTCAGACTTCACAGAGGAAATCTGTCGCCGAGTAAAAGATTTAGATTAATGCTTCTATGACTGGTATTTGCATCAGTCACTCTAAATGGACACCACATAAACCTCTATTTAGAATACCTACGTATGTATGCATTGGTTTACTTGTTTCTTGACAGTACATTTTTAGATCTGGCCTTTTCTTAATGAAATCTGCGCAAAAGATGCAGGTGGATGTCCCTAGGTCTGTTTTCAAAGAACTTTTTCCAAGTGCTTGTTTTATTTATTAAGTGTCTACCTGGTAAATGTTTTTTTTTGTAAACTCTGAGTGGACTGTATCATTTGCTCTTCTAAACCATTTTACACTTAAGTTAAAATAGTTTATCTTCAGCTGTAAATAGCAGGATACAGAATTAATAAGAGAAAATGTCTAACTTTTTAAGAAAAACCTTATTTTCTTTGGTTGTTGAAAAACATAATGGAAATAAAACAGGATATTGATGTAATAGCACAAAATGACACTCTTATAAAACTAAATGGGCACAAGAGAAATTTCCTGGGAAAGTTCACATCAAAGAGTGAATGTGGTATATTTCTAAATGATATGGAAAATAGAGACAGATTTGTCCTTTACAGAAATTACTGATTATGAATAAAAACTTCAGATCCGAGAAATATATAATGAGAGATATAATTTTTGTTAATGACAAAGGTAATATATTGGATACAAAAACACAAATGTATTGCGCATTCAATTATTTTGTTGTCTTGAGATTTAATATTCTTTCCAAGAGCTTTTAATGAAGCAGAGAGCTAGTACTTCATTTTCATTGGATACATTTTCAGCATCATGAGTTGTCACAGCCTCTGAGCCCCTGATCTTAAGCCAGAGGGGCTGAGTGTATTGTAAACTTATTCTTGCACGTTGCTGTTTGGGAATGGACCACACTACAGCTGGTAGTTCTGGGGGTGATACTGCTGAAAGGCCTGAACATATGTATTTTGGCTGCAATTGAGGAACTCGGGATGCTGACTGTTAATTTTGTATTTCAGCAACTGCCCCTTCTCCTATCCCAGAGCACCAATTACTGCCCTCTGCCTCAGCAGTACAAGATGACATTCCAAAGACTGGAGGCGACTCAGCCTGAGTTAATTCACAAAATTGTGCCATGCTGGGGCCTGAGCTTGGGCTTAGGCTTGGGCTCAGCTTTTGACCTTCAGGTGTCTCCTTTCCCTTCCTGCCTTCCTCTCCCTTATCCTCCGCTGCAGCATGATTTTCTTAATCTTCAGACACTCACTATTTTCATGAACAGTTACCCTCTGGCCCCACAACCAAAGACAACTCATGACCTCCCTTGGCCCTTGTGTAACATTGCAAACCTGTGGCTTTGCAAAATGTACCCAGGTCACAAGGGGATTTTTTTTTTTTTTTAGCAATGATATTCCTGTCTGGGTCACTTTTTAAGCTTGTAAGCAGACTTATAATCTTAAATGTATTTTCCTTTGTTTAAGCTGCTGCTTTCTCTGTTTCATTGGCTTGAGCTAGTTATCAGTGGCTCTTGGGTTCAAAGTAATAAAAAATTCCAAAACTGATTGAGATGTTTGCTTTCTCTACCTGTTTCCTGTTCAGATGCCTTCAGTCATTTTGGCTCAGCTTGCTACTGAGAATGGCTGCTTCCCATATTTAGAGTGGAAGTGGGGTGGTCTGGTGGCGACAGGCTAACGTAGAGTTGGCTGTTTTTATGAGAATGCTCCACTTGACGCCATCCTGCACCTTTGTTTATTCCAGTGACTAATGGTCACTCGCACGCCTGCTGTGCACAGTCCTGTGAGTTAAATACCCACTACTGTCTGCACTGGTCCCACCTGCTCAATTGACAAAAAAATCAGGTCCTTGTTGACAGTTCTGTTAAAAGGTTTAATATTCAAATTATACATTAAATAGAATCAAATCGGCAGCAGCAGTTTTATTAAGCATCAAGTCAGTTGGCATGTGTGTGGCAGAGGAGTGCCTGGTAATGGAATAACAAGTTGGCGATGTCCACCGCGATTCCAGAGTAAGTCAGGTCGCTAGGTAAGTTGTAACTGATTGCTTTTCCTGCAGCGCACACGAGCAGTATCAGCCATCTCCCTCCCACCCCCTCCACAGCCTGCTGCTGGCTGTCCTGTATGTGAGCTAGCAGCTTTTTAATCTACCTGGAACTAAGGCCAAAAATTATCAGCCCTTTCGTTCTGGAAGGAGAGTTGACCTCATTTGTCACCTGAACAAAAAGCAAAACTTAAACTGAATTAAAACTACCCACACGTGAAGCTTGTCGGAATTGTCAGCTATTGTTGGCGTAAGACCTGGTAAATGTGGAGCCAGTGCTGTGCCCTGACCTGGAGATCTAACAGACTTGCCAGAAATGCCTGTGTCCAGACTGAAGAGACCTGGGGCTCAGGAAGAGGCTCGGAACGCCTGCCCTCTATTCTGTAGAAACTGCAAGCATGGGCCCTGACTACATTTTTTGCTCTCGGTAAAAGGAGTCAATGATATCTTTGTACTTCTCCAAAACTGTGAGCCGTTTCAGTTTCATCGTGGGACCTAAAAGGGAAATGAGAAGAAGTGAGTGAGAAATTCTCTGAGAATTCTGAGAATGTGTGTGGTAAAGACTCACACTCAGTGAGTCCTATATATAACTCAGGAATTAAGCCAGATAATCAGGACAGTCAGTGGCCAGCCTCCAAGACAGTGATGGCTCCTGGTATTCACATGGCTTGTGTGTAGTCTCCTGTGTTATACCGCTGGTTGTGGGCAGTGGAGTATAGATGAAGGATTGGTATGTCGTTTCTGAGAATAGGTTATAAAAGACTGCAGTTTCTTTTATATACATAGGAAGGTGGTATAAGCTACATCTGCCTTATCCTTGACCTGCACCCAGTTTTGATCCTCAGTCCATTTTCTCTGAAATGGATTTATTTGTTCCGTCTCTTGAATGAATAAATTGTTGAAGCAATAAAAAAAATAGACTAAGTTTCTGTCTTGGGCTTTCTCTTGGACCACTCTTCCTGGGCAAGCCGACTGCCATGTTGTGAGGACACACAGGAAGCCAAGAGAGGCCCACTGCCCACACACAGGTTTCTGGCCAGCAGCCAGCAAGGAGCTGAGGCCTGCCAACAGCCATGTAAGTGAGCACGGAGGTGGACCCTCAGCTGCAAGTGACTGCACCCGGCTCATAGTGACTGTAATCCCATGAGAGCCAAGCCAGAACCACTCAGCTAAGCTGTTCCTGGATTCCTGAGCTACAGAAATGTGGATAATAAATGTTTATTGCTTTAGGCGGCTACATTTTTGGGGTCATTTGTTACACAGCAATGTATTAGATAACTAGTACACATCACCTCTGCATTTTTGTGAATGTTCATACAACATTATGCTTTGATGGTTATGACGGGGCCAGGGGACGTCCAGGTTATGGGGAGCCTCTGCCGTTGTCTTTGTGAGAGGTCTTCCCCTAATTCCTTTTCTTGCACTTGATTTACCACCTCAAAAACAAGGTTGAAAGAGCTCTGATTTGAGGTCCTGGCTAGCTTAAAGTGCCTTAACTCACTCTTGACTGTGTAACTGGAAACTTTCTGCATTAAAATCATTGTATTAACTACATAGCGAGGACATCTTCTCTGTCTGACCTTGCATTCAGTGTGCTGGCAGCAGACAGCCAGATAAGCTCAAGGTCTTTAATTGCAGCTCAGCATTGCTGTAGACAATTGCATCTGGGTTCAGCCTTAATGAATTTGAGGGAATCACACTGGCATAACCATTTCTACCTCCCCTGTTCCATGAACACCCCATGAACATCTCTTGGCTACAGCCAAGAGTGACTTCAGCTGAGGCTGCACCAGAGCCCTCTCCTGGTTCTGTAGGCAGTGCTCCGGAACAGCCTTATCCCTTTATCACACAAGCTGACTTTCCAGAAGATCACAGTAGTCTCACCCCTAGAACCACGTGACTCCAGCCTGAACACTAACAGGGCCTTGGTGTTGGCCTGGTAGTTCCATTGTGATTTTAGGGGAAAATAGTCCCATAGTCAAGGCCAAGTTAAATGTCATGTTCAGATTAGAAAGTTCTAGCACATATCAGTCGGGCGCAGTGGCTCATGCCTGTAATCCCAGCACTTTGGGAGGCCGAGGCCGGCAGATCACCTGAGGTCGGGAGTTCGAGACCAGCCTGACCAACACGGAAAAACCACATCTCTACTAAAAATACAGAATTAGCCGGGCATGGTGGCCCATGCCTATAATCCCAGCTACTCAGGAGGCTGAGGCAGGAGAATTACTTGAACCCATGAGGTGGAGGTTGCAGTGAGCCTAGGTCATGCCATTGCACTCCAGCCTGGGTGACAGAGCGAGACTCCATCTCAAGGAAAAAAAGAAAGTTCTAGCACATATCTTATACATTCAACAGGTTCCACATAACCACAAGCCCATGCATGGAGCCGTCAGTGTCCTCCAACAGGAAGTAGATGGGTGTCACCCAGATTCCTGCCATGACCTTCTTGCCATGGCTGCTTCATAACGGGCACCTCCTAGGCACTGCCATGGCCTCTGCCTTCCCACACAGCCGTTGCAACGGTGAAAAGAAAAAAGCCTACCCAACTCTCCACCGGAAATGGAGAAGTCTCTCTCGAGAATGGCCCACTTCTGGATGTGGTAGGGCCGGGCTGTGGCATTCATGTTGACTCTCCGGATCCCCTCTTCGATGGCCTGGTACACGGCCTCATCCTTCCCTACGATCTCAGACACTGTGGTGGCTCTGCTGCCCACCCTCTGGCAGAACTCCACAGCTTGTTCAGTCAGATTATCAGTCGGGTCAGAGGTGTCTGGGTCCAGAGTGCACTGAAAAGCCAGAGATTAGATGAGGACCAAGCCTTACCCCACAAGACGTAAGCCCTGGTCCTAGAGGAGGTCTTACTGCTGTCGGCAAGGGTGTGAATCCTGTGAGCTCTGTTTCAAAGAGACGGTTCTAGAATGAGTAGCTGCTACTGTGTTGAGCCTCGTGTTATTGTGGAAGGAGCAGTGGTCTGATAATTAGAAGGGCTCGGTCAGTGACGTTATTGTCTGTAAAGCAGGGACCATAACTCCTGCCTGTCTACCACCCTGGGGCTCCAGTACCTGCAGAGAGCAACGAGGGAGGGCAGCAGCACTTTGTAAACGGGAAAGTGCCAGTAACATGTAAAGGATCATCACGGTGGCTTATGTGGGACAGAAGGAATTTCCGCATGCCACAGTTGCTCCAACAGTGCAGGCAGCATGGACTTGAGTCATTCCAAAATGAAGCCATGAGATCTGGATGTCCCCTGTGCTGAATGTGGCTGCCAGCCAGACCCACAGACCCCCTCACTGGCTGCTCCTTCTGAGCCGGAGCCCCCCAGACACACCTTCAAGGTGAGCAGCATGGACAGGAACTTCCTCTGGTCCCCAATCAGCATGGCGTTGCTAATGATGGGTAGCTCCATCTTCACGGCCTCCTCGATGGGCACAGGGGGCACATTCTCCCCACCAGCTGTGATGATTAATTCTGGGGAGGCAAGGCCAGGCCCCCGGCACAGAATGTAGTCCAGGTGCCCCAGTTGAACCACAACCCAAGCCTTAGCCACAGCCCGGAAACCTCAGCACAGCAGGCAGCACAGCTGGAGACGCCCCCTCTCTGGGAGCCAAGAAGCAGTGGCAGGCCCTCCAAAGCAACTCACACCTGCTGGGGGGCTGCTGGCAGCACCCCAATGACAAATGCTCACCCAGGGTTCCCTCTCCTCAGCTTGTCATCCAAGACTCAGCCTGCTCAGGCATCTCATCCATGTCCCCTTCTGCCAGCCCCAGTTCCTGCCCCCAAATAGCCCGTGTCATTTCCCTTCCCTGCCTTTGCTTAAGCAAAGTGACCATCCCTGTCACTCACACAGCATTCACCACCATGCTAAGCACTTCACATACAGTAATTCATTTAATTGTCACAATAAACCTATAATGAAGCAGACACTCTTGTTTTGCAGATGAGGAAACTGAGGCACAGAGACGTTCAGTAACTTGTCCAAGCTCACATGCTAGTAAGTGGCAGAGCTAAGATTTTAAATCCAGTCCAGTTCCAGAGCCCATGCTCTCACCTGCCCTGCTAGGATGCCTCTCCCCTTGCTTGCGCCCTTCTCCCTGGAAGGTCCTCTCCCCTTCTTTCCTTCTGTCCAACAGACTGCCAGGCACTCAGTGCCCTAGCCTGCTGTTCTCTGATAGTAATGATGGCTTACTTCTAGGCTAGATGGCAATAAATTAAATAAAATAAATTTAACGAATGCACATTGACTAATTTTAGTGAGACTGTACTCCTGTCCCTCATTTCTATCTAATTCAACAAAGATTAGTTGGCCACATTCTGTGCACAGGTCTTGTGCTGACATCAGGCACAGAATAGAACAAGGCTGTCCATGGCTGCAAGGAGCCCACAGTGCAGGGGGGCAGCGAGACAGAGGGAGGCACAGGGGCTGCAGGGCCAGGGCAGGGAAGCATCAGGCCCAGCTGCATGGTGAACATGAATGGAGTTGGCAGGCAGAGGGCAGGACAGAAGCAGAAGCTCACAGGCCTTAAGGGAACTGCAGGTAGCAAGTGAGGCAGAGGCTGGAGAGTAGCAGGGCAGATCTCAGAGGCTTCCAGTGCTGGCTCAGGAGCTGGATTGTGGGCAGGTAGGTGGGAATCACTGAATGGTGTGAGATCAAAGTTTTAGGATACTCTGGTAGCTGGGGTGAGGAGTGGTTATTCAGGGGGCAAGCTGGCTAGAGAGGAAGCCATGGCAAGTGTCTAGATGATCAGGGTTTGTCTAGGACAGCAGAAGTCAGGTGAAGTGGAAAAGACAGACTCTGGAAATGTGGGAAGACAAAAACCCAGCCTCCCTCACATATGCCTCATCATTGCTACCTCATTCCTGCCCTCTTCTCCTCACCACCACCCTCTGCATTCTCACCAGCATCTTTTACCATTAGTAAATGATTTTTAAAAACCCTTAGCAAACCAAGCCTAGAAAGGAACATCTTTAATCTGATAAAGAACATCTAAAAATTTTTACAGCAAACATACTTTTTTTAAGATTTAATAATTTTTTTTAAATAAATAGAGACAGGATCTCACTATGTTTCCCAGGCTGGTCTCGAATTCCTGAGCTCAAGCAATCCTCCTGCCTCAGCCTCCCAAAGTACTGGGACTGCAGGTGTAAGCCACTGTGCCCAGCCAAACATACTAATGATAAGATAGTGAATGCTTCTCCCCTGAAATCAGGAACAAAACAAGGATGACCACTATCACCACTTCTATTCAACACTGTCCTGGAGGTCCTAACCTGTGCAATACGGCAAGAAAAAAATTCATCTGTCGTTTGCAGATGATATCGTTGTGTCCATAGAAAATTCAAAAGAATATACACACTACTGGATTGAATATGTGGTCTGATCAAATGATCCACAAAAGGTGATTTGATACAAAGCCAATATGCAAAAAGCAGTTGTATTTCTATATACCATCAGCAAACAAATAGAAGACAAAAAATTTTTTTGCAGCAACATCTGAGCTGAAAAAAACTTTTAAGTAATATTATTTAAAATACCATAAAAATTCTAAGAAGTAAATATAAGGAAAGATGTGCAAAAATCTCTACGCTAGAAAACATAGGATGGATGCAGTGACTCACGCCTATAATCCCAGCACTTTAGGAAGCTGAGACAGGAGGATGGCTTGAGCTCAGGAACTCAAGACCAGCCTGGGCAACATGGCAAAACCCCCTCTCTACAAAAATAAAAAGTTAGCCAGGTGTGGTGGCTCGCACTTGTGGTCCCAGCTACCTGGGAGGGTGAAGCTGGACCAGAGGATCACTTGAGCCCAGGAGGTAGAAGTTGCAGTGATCTGAGATCATGCCAGTGCACTCCAGCCTGGGCAACAAAGCAAGACCCTGTCTCAAAAATAAATAAATAAATAAATAAATAAATAAATAAATAACACATTATTGAGAGAAACTTAAAAAGACCTAAATAATCGGGAGGCTGAGGCAGGAGAATGGCGTGAACCCGGGAGGTGGAGCTTGCAGTGAGCCGAGATCGTATCACTGCACTCCTGCCTGGGCGACAGAGCGAGACTCCATCTCAAAAATAAGAAGAAGAAGAAGAAGAAGAAATTTTTAAAAAGACAAGTAAATGGAGAGATTTATCATATTTGTGAATTGGAAGAGACAATACTATAAAGATGTATTTTCCTCACCAAATTGATCTATAGATTCAATGAAATCAAAATCAAAATTCCACCCAGTTTTTGAGGAAACATATAATAATTCTAAAATTCATATAGGAATGAAAATGGCCAAGAATAGCCAAGGTCATCTTGAAGAAGACAACCAAGGTTGTAGGGCTGAGCCAGATATCTAGCCCTGTCATAAAGCTATAGAAATTAAGACACTGGGTATTGGTGCACAGATAGGCAAATAGACTAAGGGAACAGAATAGAGTCCACACATAGACCTCTCATAGACAGTCACTTCATAAAGGACAAAGGTATCACTGCAAGGCAATGGGGAAAGGATGCCATGTCAGTTGGATATGTATTTGGAGAAAAACTATTTGGACCCTTACCTCTCACTATACTAGTTCTGAAAGGAGGGCCGGCTCTGGTTGAATTTGGTTTTCTGGCTACTATCCTCCCCCGTGCAGGGATGTGGGTCCCCCTCATCTGCCGTTACAAAGAGGCACACTAGGCGGCGCCCATGGCACATCCAAGCAGCCACCTGTCGCTCCTGGGGTCTCACTGGAGGGTACCTGCCAGGGCTCACCAGCCTGCACATCCCAGGGCCCAAACACCACCGCGAACTTTTGTCCCTCCCTGGGGTTGCCGAGCCTCCATGGCCATCAGCTGGGGCCTGGGCACGGTCGCACACTGCCTGCATGACGTCCACAAAGTAGTTTCCCCACTCACTCAGCTTCAGTTTCCCCCATGAAGCCCTGGTGCGGGATTCCCACGTGGGTGCTGCGGGCATGACACCAACTTAGGTGAAGCAGGCAGAACATCCTTCCACAGAGGCATCCCCAACTATACCTGTCTCTGTGGGAAGTTTGTCTTATTTTAAATTTTATATCCAATTTGCATGCTATTCCCCATCACATCTGTGTTGCATATAAAAATACATAATATGTATGCTCTTGAATCTTCTGGAAAGACTTGCCTTGTTTCTCTAGGGGTCTGATTTCCAACTCCACCATTTACTAGCTGGGTGACATTGGGCAAGTTACTTAACCTCTCTGGATGTCCTCATTAACAAGTTAAGGTTAATAGTACGTGCCCCATAGGAGAGTGGAGTAAATAAAATGATGTCACTAAAGGTGCGTGACACTTAATAAAGGCTCAAGACCAGCAGCTGGTATAAACAGTGGTGGCAGTGGAATTCCTGCCCCCACCCCACTGCAGCTGTCCAGGGTGCTTGCCTTTTTTTGTTTGTTTGTTTTGGTTTTGTTTTCGGAGACAGAGTCTAACTCTGTCTCCCAGGCTGGTGTGCAGTGAGGCGATCTCAGCTCACTGCAACCTCTGCCTCCCGGGTTCAAGCAATTCTCGTGCCTCAGCCTCCTGAATAGCTGGGATTATAGGTGCATGCCACCACGCCCAGCTAATTTTGTGTGTGTTTTTAGTAAAGATGGGGTTTCGCTGTGCTGCCCAGAGTGGTCTTGAACTCCTGAGCTCAGGCAATCTGCCTGCCTCAGCCTCCCAAAGTGCTGGGATTACAGGCATAAGCCACCGCGCCTGGCCTGGGGTACTCACCTTTGAGGCGCCCAGTGATGTAGAGGAAGCCATCGGCATCCAGTCGGCCAGCATCGCCTGTGTGCAGCCAGCCTTCCTCATCAATGGCCTCACACGTCTTGTCCTCCATGTTCAGGTAGCCCATGAAGATGGTGCGGCCCCACAGGCAGATCTCGCCAATGCCCTCTGTGTCCTGGTTCACCAGCTTCACCCGACAGCCGGGCACCAACTTGCCTGAGCTGTCGAGGGAGGGGCCGGGAAACTGGTCAGAGGGAGCTGTCTCCTTCAAGCCCCCACTGGGGAGCCGGGGTCCCAACAGCTCAGTCTTCACTGATGGCTAGAAGGTATCCCCTCACAGGGCTTTTGTATTTTAACAGGGGACTTACAGCTGAAAGATAGAGCCAATTTAAGAGTTTTAGGGAATGAAGGAAGGAAGGAACAAATGAAATGGTAATGGTAGAACTTGGAGCACTGTGATAGGCTGGCAGGGAGAGGAGATATTTAATCATAACTGATGATCCTGCAAATCACTCCCTAGAACTGACTGCCCTCACCGTCCATTAGGAGGCTGGCCTGGTCCCCCCAACTCCTACCTTAGCTGGCCCCTGGGCCATCCACTCTCCTAGAACATGCTGGAGCACACCCCACGCCATGAGAGGGAGGGGCCAGAGGAAAACTGCTCCAGAGGTAGACCCCTGCTCAGGGGGCACCTGGGCTGTGCAGGCTGTTTTCAACCACAGACTCACACAACAAAGTGGCCGAGGCCACTCCCACTAGACTAAGGAGGATAAGCTAGGGACTTGGCCCAAGAGGGCAATGTTGGCTCTCAGGGGCTCCATAGCCCAGTGGCCAGGTCTCTGGGACCCAACTGGCTTGCAAAGAGAAGGTGGTCCCCAGGGCACTCAGCAGGCAGACACAAAGGAGTACCAGCAAGGGCGCATGGGTGTGCATGTGTGCGGCAGCCTTGAGCCTCACCTGTACAGCCGGTAGTTGCAGGGGCTGGACATGAAGTGGGGGCCTGAGGTCTCACTGAGGCCGTAGCCCGCATACAAGCGGATGTTGAGGCCCAGGAAGAAGTGCTGTGTCTCTGCTGTCATGGGGGCTGCTCCATAGAAGTTCTTCTGACACTTGGCAAAGCCCAGTGCCTGGCGGACCTTGGCTAGCACCAGGTAATCTGCCAGTCTGGTTGTGAAGGGCTTCAGGTCGCTGGTGGGACAGGGAGAATGGTTCATGGAAGAAATCACATACACACAAACACACACACAAACACACACACACACACACACACACACACACTAAAAGGGTGGTATTCAGTGAGAACACCCTGGCTCGGCCATTCCAGTTGTCTGTTCCACTTGGTTGGTTTGAATATTGAACCTGCCCATGAACATGCATGCAGATGTAGGTATGCAGGCACATGGTTGTGTGCAAATGTGTCTTGAACCAGGAAGCCAAACAGATTCAGCTGTGTACAGGTGTACAGGCAACAACAAAGACACATGCCATTTTGCACACAAAATACACATGCACAGAGACTTGAAGTATGTATTCGTGTATACACATGTACAAACGTCGGACCCCAGTGAAGCCCACAATTGCTTTGTTCATGCATGTTCATGTTTCATGTCTGTGCAAATGAAACTGTGGATGCTCAGGTATGTACACACATCTCATGAAACATACCGTTTCACAGACACATGGGGAATGGAAACTACTTCTAAATTGAAACCAAGCCAGATTTATGTCACTGACCCTCCATAGAACCATGTGGGAATTTTAAAAGCTATAGAAAGAAAGGGTGAGACATTTGAGGGGTTACTTGGGATGCTGGAAAGGCTAAGTCCTCATCACTGTGGCCCCTTCTCCGGCCACCTACTGAGGACAGACGACCTCAGGAGACTGTGCCAGGAGCTGCTCCAAGGGAGGTGAATTTCACTTCAGAGAAAGCAAGTTAGTCCTCCCAGTCAGAATCCAAAGGTGGAGCGACTCTCCCCAGCAGGCCCTGGGAAACGCATAGGAGCTCAAGCCCAGTCATTGATGGGGCATCTGCATGGGGTCTCCAGAGCTGCCCGGCCACTGGAGCTGGGACAGGCATGGCCTATCAGACTCTCACTGTGTTTTGGGTTATGACCCAGTGCACTGCCTCCCCAGGCCTCCCGCCCGTGGGCCCTCTGTACCTGCCAGGGCAGGTGAGGTTCTGCTCCAAGGTCACCGACATGGCCCACAGCAACATCTTGCGCCGGATGAAGCCAGACTGAGCCGCCACCTCCTGGATGCGCTCCATGATCTTCTCCCACACCCGGGGCACCCCCATGTGCGATGTGGGCTCCACCTCCCGCAGCGTGTTCACCAGGCTCCCCTGTTCACACCGGAAGAGGCAGCCCTGTTGGGTCCGGGGCAGCTGGGGCCCAGGGGCCCCCTCTCACCAGCCAGGCATGCCGGCAGCACACACATGCTCAACGGGCACCCGCACACACCTGCACACAAGGTATGGCACATACTGTTTCCTTAATGGTTGTCGCCTCGCTTTTTGCTCACAGAACCCTGGTGGCAGGCAGTGGTCAGGCAGCCGTCAGGCAGCCAGTGCTTCAGAAGGGCCTCAGTCTCATCCCAGCCCTGAGCGTGGTGACTCTCCATGAGTCTAACTCAGACACAAGAATCCCATTCCCCTCGGCAGCATTTGGTTTGAGAATAGACAGGTGACACTTTGGGACACTGAGATGCTGGTGGAGGGAAACTGGCTGGGGGGTTTCTGGGAACGTTTTCCTCACAGTTAAAATAAGGGTCCCAAGAACAGATATATCCTGTGAGTCTGGGATTCAGGGAAGGGCTGTAGCCATCTGGTGATACTCTGAGGACACCCGTCCTTGATCGTATCACAAGTCCCATGAACCACTCTCACTCCACTTTATGTAATGGCATCAGGTTCCCGCTCTGTCGCCCAGGCTGCAGCGCAGTGGCACGATCTCCGCTCACTGCAAGCTCCGCTTCCTGGGTTCACCCCATTCTCCTGCCTCAGCCGCCCAAGTAGCTGGGACTACAGGCGCACACCCATGCCCGGCTAATTTTTTGTATTTTTAGTAGAGACAGGGTTTCACCGTGTTAGCCAGGATGGTCTCGATCTCCTGACCTTGTGATCTGCCGACCTCGGCCTCCCAAAGTGCTGGGATGACAGGCATGAGCCACCACGTCTGGCCCAGTTTACCTTCTTGTTTGGTCATTTGAGTCAGGCTGTGCCCATTGCAGCTGACAGAATTCTGACTGATACATGCACAGGAACGGCACACACACAAATGCACACTCAGGGCCCACGGACACACGTGGACGTGGCCTGGCACACGGGCTGGGATGGACGCACAGTAAAGGCAGACTGACCTTCAGGGCGTCGGGTTCGGCAAAGCAGACCTGGGCCCCCCACTGGATGCCTGTCCACAGGTCGTAGATCTGGGCAGCAATGTGGCTGAGGGGCAGGTAGCTGACTACCACCTCCTGCTGGACTTCTGCCGGCCGGATGTCACCGGCCTGGCTGCCGTACCTTGCTGTCCACGTGATCTGGAGGACAAGTAGATGGATCCCAGCAGCGTCCACAAGCCAGCCCTGGCGGTGCTCACAACTGTGGCCACCCTGAGGGCCAGCCCCAGTGTGGTGCCCCCTGTGGCATCTCTGCAGGCTCTGAAAACCCTAGGACAGGCCTCCCCTCCCCCTTGCTGGGCTCAGTCTGGGCCGCAGACTGATGGGCTGTTCTACCTATCCCAGCTCCTAGAGCAGAGGGGCCCAAGGAGC